ATTAGCTCAGACTACCGGGGTGGAGGCTTCTGGGTCCCTGAGCCCTAGGAGGTGTGCAGATCACAGGGGTCTCCGCTTCCCCAAGCAAGTGAGGGCTCAAGACCCCTGCGCCAAGAATTACCCGAGTGGGGCGCGGTGCATCCGAAGGGTGTGCAGGGGGGATGAGAGGAGCTCAGGGCTTTCCCAGGAGGTGGGCCTCCAGCAGGCCACTCAAGAGGCCCCTCCTCACAGCAAAGGGCCCCCCAGCCCTTGGCAAGACTGGGTTGAAACCCAAGTTTGAAGATTCCTGGTAAGGCACATGCTCCCTCTGGTGGTAATAATGGGGACTGCATGTCTTCAGACAGGCCTTTTTTAAACTATGTTTATTTTGTTACAGAAGTTTCTTCTTTTTCCCCCATTGACACCTTCCTCCCAGTCCTGCCCCTGACCCCAGCGTTGTTGTCTATGTCCATGGTTAGGCAGACATGCACATAAGTTCTGTGGTTTATCTCTTCCCTGCCCCCCAATGCCCTCTTCTGAGGTTTGTCAGTCTGTACCCTACTTCTGTGTCTCTGGGTCTGTTTTGTTCATCAGCTTGTTTTGTTCATTATATTCCACAAATAAGTGAGGTCATGTGATATTTGTCTTTCTCTGATTGGCTTGTTTCACTTAGGATAATGCTCTCCAGTTCCCTCCATGTTGTCTCAAAAGATAAAAGATCTTTCTTTCTCACAGCTGCATAGTACTCCATTGTGTATATGTACCACAGCTTTTCTATCCATTCATCTACTGATGGACACTTGGGCTGTTTCCAGACCTTAGCTATTGTAAATAGTGCTGCTGCAAACATAAGGGTGCATATATTCTTTCTGATTGGTGTTTCGGGCTTCTTAGGGTATATTCCTAGAAGTGCGATCACTGGGTCAAATGGCAGATCAATTTTTAATTTTTTGAGGAAACACCATATTGTTTCCCGTAGTGGCTGCAATAGTCTGAATTCCCACCAGCAGTGTACATAGTACTGGAAGTCTTAGCCACAGCTATTAGACATGAAGAAAACATAAAAGGGATCAAAATTGGAAAGGAGGAAGTGAAACTGTCATTATTTGCAGATGCCATAATACTGTACATAGAAAACCCTAAAGACTCCATAAAAAATCTACTAAATTTAATAAATAAATTTGGCAAAGTATCAGGATACAATATCAATGTCAAGAAATTGATGGCATTCTTATACACCAAGAACAAACTTACTGAAAGGGAAACTAAAAAACTAATCCTATTTATCATCGTGGCAAAAAAAATAAATAAATAAGATACCTAGGAATAAACTTAACCGAAGGAGTAAAGAACCTATTCACAGAAAACTACAGGTCACTGAACAAAGAAATAGAGGAAGATATAAAAAAGTAGAAGCATATACCTTGTTCTTAGATTGGAAGAATTAACATCATTAAAATGTCCATATTACCCAAAGCAATCTATAGATTCAATGCAATCCCCATTAAAATACTAATGACATATTTCACAGAAGTAGAACAAATACTCCAAAAGTTTATATGGAACCAAAAAAGACCCCAAATAGCCACAGCCATCTTGAAAAAGAACAAAGTGGGAGGGATCACAATACCAGATATCGGATTATACTACAAAGCCATAGTAATCAAAACAGCCTGGTACTGGCATAAGAACAGGCATATAGACCAGTGGAACAGAACAGAGAACCCGGAAATTGACCCAAGTCATTATTCTTATTTAGTATTTGACAAAAGTGGCAAGAGCATACAATAGAGTAAAGACAGCTTCTTCAATAAATGGTGTTGGGAAAATTGGACAGCTACATGTAAAAAAATGAAGCTAGACCATCAACTTACACCATACACAAGAATAAACTCAAAACAGATAAAAGACTTAAATGTGACTTGTGCATCCATAAAAATCCTAGAAGAAAATGTAGGCAACAAAATTTCAGACATCATACACAGCAGAATTTTCACTGATACATCACCTAAGGCAAGAGAAACAAAGGAAAAATGAGCACATGGGACTACATCATACTCAAAAGTTTCTGCACAGCAAAAGAAACACTCATCAAAATGGAAAGAGAACCCACTGTATGGGAGAGCATAATTGCCAATGAAACATCAGATAAGGGGTTAATTTCCAATATATAGAGAGAGTGCTCATACAACTCCACAAAAGGAAGACAAAGAACCAATTAAAAAATGAGCAGAGGACCTGAATAGATACCTCTCCAAACAGGACATACAAATGGCCAAGAGACATATGAAGAAATGCTCAACATCACTAATCATCAGAGAGATGCAAATTAAAACAACAATGAGGTGTCACCTCACACCTGTCAGAATGGCCGCCCTCAACAAATCATCAAACAACAAGTGCTGGCGAGGGTGTGGAGAAAAGGGGACTCAGGCCATTTTTGTTGCTGTGGTGAAGAGCAATTATCCAGTCAGGTTTGGGTACTCTTTGTGATTCGGTTTGTGTGCGAATTGTGGAGAATCCCAAAGTGAGATGGGGGGTTGGTAGCTCCCAGTCCATGAGACCTTTGTGGAACAGGAAGAGGGGTGATCAGAAGGGCCCAGCCCAGGGCAGGTCACAGACCTCAGATGCCACCCGCATTCGTGTTCTCAGCACTGGCTGCTCTCCCGAGTCCCCCGGAGCTTGTGAAGCATCAGCTTGAGTGAGCCCCCACCCCCAGGGTTGATATTCGGCAGGTCTGGAGTGCAGGCTGGGTGTCTGGTTTGAACAGCACCCCAGGTTCTCCGGGCAGAGGGGCAGACAGGGAAGGGGACCCCCAGGACCCTTCCCCTCCAGAGCAGCTGGAGTCCCCTCTGAGCTGGCCGACTGGGGGCCTGTGTATGAAACAGTCTCCTCTCCACCGCCCCTCCTTCTCCCCAGGGGCCACGGGCCTGGGGGCCCCTCCTGTGTGCATTGCGGCCGCCGAGTTCCGGGAGCTCCCAAAGCCCTGGGCGGACCTGTCCATTCCCGTCCGTGTCGCCCACCGTCATGGACAGCCCAAGCGTGCCCCATCGTGTGCAAAAACACTGGGCCCTCTTGAGGGGTGGGCCGTCACATTTTGTGTGTCCCTGGTGAGCCCTCAGGCAGGGCACATTCTGAAAAGTGAGGGCGTCCCTTTGGCTCTCCGAAGGACGGTCTGCGCTCAGGCCCCTGGGACTCAGTGAGGGCTGGTGGTCTCGGGACCCAGGGGGGGGGTTAGACCAAGACTCAGTCCTCGCGTGGAATGGCTCACCCTGCCTCTGCTCCCCCAAAGCTCCCCCAAACTCCACCAACTCGTGCTGTCTCGGGGTCCCCTCCACCTCTCCCGTCCCTCCCTGGGAGGCCGGCAGTCACCAGTGAGGAAGCCGGACACTGAGTGGTCCCACCATCCCGTCCCGCTCCCCAAGGCCTCTGCTCCCCGACACTGCCCGGGGAGCCGGCTGTCCTGCAGGGCCCAGCCCGCACCTCCTCTGCTGGGGTGTCCTGGGCTGCCAGATAGTAACGGGCGCGCCTCACTGCCCACTCCCTGGAGCCCGGTCCTGGGATGGAGCAAACACATGCATGAGCGTCATCTCCATGAGGCCCCCTGGCACTAAGAGTGGGCGGGGCGGCCTGGGCTTAGCACCAGGGCCAGGAGCAGGGAGGGAGAGGGCGTGAGGCCCCCAGGCCCCCATCCTGGCGTATCAGTGCATTCGGGGAGACGGCACAGAATGGGGCCACCAGCTGCCACCCTGCGGGCAGCATAGGCCTGTCCACAGCTCGTCCCAGCGGGGCAGCCCGAGGCAGCCCAGAGCCTGGCGGCACCCAGGCAGCGCCCTGCAGACCCAGTGGCTTTGCACCCGGGGCACCGTCTCGCTGCCTGGCGCTCGAAAGGCGCAGCGTCCTCTGTCCGGGCTCTTGGCGACTCGGGAGGGAGGGGAGGCCCCTGCTCTCAGATGCGTGGGTGCCGGGGGTCAGGGGGACCTCAGCAGACCAGGCTGCGTGGGGCGGCACCGGGCAGGGGGAGGGTGGCAGCTATGGGAGGGGAGGGAGGGAGGGAGGCGGCAGGAAGGCACCATCTCTGTGCTCAGCTTTATTGTTAGAAAGAGGTGCATGGGGTGGGGGGGCGATGCCCATCCACGGGTCACATGGAGCCTGGCGCTGCCTTCAGCCCGAGGGCCTGGCCGTGCTGGGGACAGAGGTCTGCATCTCAGGGAGGGCTTGTCAGCTGTCCCCAGGGCAGTGGTGGCGGAGCTGACTCTGAAATGACAAAGCAGGGTTTGGGGTGACGGGGCGGGGGCGGGGGTCCCTGGCATCTCTTACTTGTCTCATCCTTCTCGGGATCGTCTGTGCGGCCTCCCTTGGCCACACCTGCCATGCCAGGCACTCGGCCATCGTTTAGACACATGATGGGTGGCAGGCACCTGGTCGAGGGGAGGAAGACCCTAACCTGGTTCCGAGCCCCTGTTTCCTCACAGCTGTCCCCCCCCAGCTCCTCCCAGACGCACCTGTGCTCACAGCTGTCCCCCAGCCCCTCCCACACGCACCTGTGCTCACAGCTGTCCCCCAGCCCCTCCCACACGCACCTGTGCTCACAGCTGTCCCCCAGCCCCTCCCACACGCACCTGTGCTCACAGCTGTCCCCCAGCCCCTCCCACACGCACCTGTGCTCACAGCTGTCCCCCAGCCCCTCCCACATGCACCTGTGCTCACAGCTGTCCCCCCAGCCCCTCCCACATGCACCTGTGCTCACAGCTGTCCCCCAGCCCCTCCCACACGCACCTGTGCTCACAGCTGTCCCCCCAGCCCCTCCCACACGCACCTGTGCTCACAGCTGTCCCCCCAGCCCCTCCCAGATGCACCTGTGCTCACAGCTGTCCCCCAGCCCCTCCCACACCCACTTGTGCTCACAGCTGTCCCCCAGCCCCTCCCAGACGCACCTGTGCTCACAGCTGTCCCCCCAGCCCCTCCCAGATGCACCTGTGCTCACAGCTGTCCCCAGCCCCTCCCACACGCACCTGTGCTCACAGCTCGTCCTCAGCGCCTGGCCTGGGAGGGGAGAGGGAGAAAGGCTGCTCAGAGGTCAGGAGGAAAGGTGACAAGTCCAGGGTCCGTGAGGTTGGGGACCCTCCTAGAGGTTCAGAGACCAACAGCTGCCCTCCCGCCCTCCCGCCCTCCACCAGTCCCCAGGAGGCCCTCACCGGTGCTTCTTTTGGCCCCAGCAGCGGAGTTTTTTGCCTGGAAGAGAAAATGGGCCAGTTTTCCTTGGTCCCTCACCTCCTAGGAGACCCGCCTTCCCCAAGGTCCCGGCTGTGTCTCCTCCCTCCTGCTGCCAGCCCCGCACAGAGGGCCCGGAGGGTGGTCCGGAGAGGGACCAGGCTGTGTCCTCCTCCCTCCTGCTGCCAGCCCCGCACAGAGGCCCGGAGGGGGGTCCGGAGGGGGACCCGGCTGGGCCGAGCCCACGGCAGTGGTCAGTAAGCATCGACTGCGGTGGTCGTCCGTGGGCTGAGAGCTCCTGAGACCAGTGAGCCCGCCGGGCACCGTGCCCTCCTAGCCCCGCTGGGCACACACCGGCCACTCAGGAAGCTCCTGGACACGGGGCAGCACGTCGCCGGGGCCCTGTGCGCTCAGCCAGCACACGGGCCGCCCTCGGGGCTTCAGGGGACCGGGACCGCGTGCTGCAGACAGGCCTGCGACGGAGAGGCCCTGACCGTGGGGCGTGGAGCCGGCGCCCAGACGTGCACTCGCTACCTTCCGTCTTCTCCGCACTCCTGTGTCTCAGTGTGTTTCCCTTCCAGCTGCACCCGACAAGCCAGTAAGTACGAACTGTCCTTGTCCCTGCTGTGTGCCTGCTGGCTGGGGGTGTACCGGGGGGGGGGCCCGCCTGTCCCCCAGACCGGCCATGGCCAGGTGGCTCCTCCCCAGGGCTCCTGGGCTGCCCGTCTGTGGACCCAGCTTTAACCGGAGCAAGTGGACAGATGAGCACACTTTGGCCCGGGAGTCGGGGTCCCGCGTACACTAGCCGCGGGGCCTCGGGCCTCTGGCGCTCAGCACACCTGCATTCTAGCAGCAGGTGGGCAGTGGGCACAGGGTGGGCCCCCCTGGGTTCAGCCGAACCGACTCTGCCTCCGATTGGCTGTGAAACCGTGGGCTGCGCCTGTCAGGTGGGTCTAAGGCCTCATCTGGAAAATGGTGACCAGCGTGGCCACCCTGTGGCTGAGAGATTGAATGGGTGGACGTAGCTCAAGCCGAGAAGGTGCCAGATCTGACGGTTGGGGTGCCCAGCAGAGGCTAGCTCCTCCCCTTCCCCGACCCCATCCCCCGGTTGCACTGGACCTTCCTGGGGTCAGAGGGCGCCGCTCCTCCAGGGCCCACGAGAGGCTCACTGGGGAGATGGAACCACCTCTGCCGTCCAGGGACCAAGCAGGGAGACACCCCAGACGCCTCTCAGTTCCCACATCGGGGAGGGGAGAGGCCTAGAGAGACTCGCTCCTCCTGCCAGGATCTGGAGGGGAGAGGGCTCCCCCCCTCGAAGCAGTGGGCTCAGTGGCTTTGAGAATGATGTGCCCCCTGGCACCCCCCAACAGGAGGCCGCCCCACTTACTGAGGATGATGATGAGCCCCACCACGAAGGCCAGGCCAGCAAAGATCAGACCCCCATGGCGGACAGTCTCATAGTCTGAGGGTGGAGAGAGAAGGAGGTGGGTCACCCAGGCCCCCTCCCTGGGCCCACACTGGGGGATGGAGAGGGAAGGAGGTGATGGGTCACCCAGGCCCCCTCCCTGGGCCCACATTGGCAGCACCCCAAGGTAACTGGGGAAGATGGGGTTACACAGCCCAGGGCTGGGAGAGGCTGGGAACCAACTGGGGTACAGGGGCAGTCTCGGGAAAGGTAGGGGGCCCACAGGCTTACCATAGTAGAACGGATCCACATCCCCCTTGGGGCTGCCACCTGAAGAGACAGGATAAGGGGCCCGTCACAGACAGGGGGGGTTCCAGCCCAGAATCTGGGCCTCTGACCTTGTCCCAGCACCCCAGGGCCCAAGTGGGAAAGAGGAGGCTGGTGGGGAGAGACCCCCTGGAACAGGAGGCTGGGGGGGAGAGACCCCCTGAAGGGGATGCTGGGGAGGAGAGACCCACTGGAAGGGGAGGCTGGTGGGGAGAGACCCCCGGAACAGGAGGCTGGTGGGGAGACCCCCCTGAGGAGGAGGCTGGTGGGGAGAGACCCCGGAACAGGAGGCTGGTGGGGAGAGACCCCCGGAACAGGAGGCTGGTGGGGAGAGACCCCGGAACAGGAGGCTGGTGGGGAGAGACCCCGGAACAGGAGGTTGGTGGGGAGAGACCCCCGGAACAGGAGGCTGGGGGGAGAGACCCCCCCGAAGAGGAGGCTGGGGGGGAGAGACCCCCCGGAAGAGGAGGCTGGTGGGGAGAGACCCCCCGGCAGGGGAGGCTGGGGGGCAGAGACCCCCCGGAACAGGAGGCTGGGGGGAGGAGAGACCCCCCGGCAGGGGAGGCTGGGGGGGAGAGACCCCGGAACAGGAGGCTGGGGGGCTGGAATGCAGTGCAGTGGGGCACCTGCCCTCGACCACTTCAGACACAGCCAAGCTGGGACCAGACGCTGAGACCCAAAGGGGCCGCGCTGCCTGTGGCCTGGGGCGTCCTGGGAGGCCCCTTTCTCTCGGCTCCAGGCGGACAGCGTAGAAACGGCCGAGGGGAGGCCCCGTTGGACCCCGCAGCCTCTCCTACACTGATGGACTGCAGACGTCGTGCGAGGACGGGATGGAGGCGAGGAAGGAGGCCGGAGCCCGCTCTGGAGGCTCGTCCCCGTCCCGGGGCAGCACTGGTCTGGAACCAGGGTTCTAGATGCTTCTGTCCTGTGGGCTACGCCCTGCGGGAAGCTTGCCTGTGTCGTGGTGGCCACACCCCCGGCCACGGCTGACAGCACCAGCTCCTTTCGCCAGCATCACGGGCCTGCGAGGCACTGACACGATCCGGCACCATGGGGGGCGGGGGTGCGGACAGGTTAGGTGACGCCCCAGCCACACGCCTCGAGGACAGACCCGGGGTTCGGGTCGCTAAGAATGTCCGTACTTAACCCTTTGCTGTGCTGCGTCTCGGAAGAAGGAGCCGAGTCCAGGCCAGCGCTCCTGGGCGGTGCCCACCCTGACCTGACGTGCCCACGCCAGCGGAGCCAGCCCCGCCCCCCAGCCCGGGAGCCCGCTGCCCGTGCCCTTGGAAGCTGGAGGGCAGCCAGCGCTCGCCTGCGCAGCTGACGGACCCTCTTCCTGCCCTGCGAGTCCCTCTTGGCCCAGGGAGCCGTGCCCAAGGTCGAAGGCGTGTGCATGTTGGCACCCCTGGGCTGTGCTGGACTGTGCCCGGGTGGGAGCCCCGAGGTCCCAGCAGCGCCTGAAGTGGGCAGGCGGGGAGGGCTCAGCCTGGGCCCGAACACCGGAGGCCAAGGGGAGGCCGTGTGTGGGGGCCCAGGTCTGTCCCCACACAGACGGCCTTTAAGGCTGTTGGAGTTCCGATCTTGTTCAAGGTCACGCAGGGAGTAGCCGGGGACCGTGAGCAGCCGCGTGCCTTCCTCCCGGTGCCAGGACACGGGCTCCTCCCTGAGCCATCTCAGCCACCTGCCGAGCCTGCCCCCCCCTCACCCCTTCTGGATGGGCTCAAAGCCACCACAGTCAACAGAGGCCCATTGGCTTCCAGGCTTGAGTCACCCTCCACCACAGGAATGCTGGGGCTGGGCCTTGCTTGGGGCTCTCACCCCAAAGGGGGCCCGAGGCTGCCGGGGCGGCTGGCTGCAGCCTCGGCCCACCCGCCTCCTCGCTGAGCCCAGACCCTCCAGAAAACAGTGGACGGGACAGGCGCCCCCTGGTGCCCGAGGTCTGCCATTCGAGCTGTGTTTCATTGGCGTTAAGGCAGGACCTCTTATGTTTATTTTATTAAAAAATTTTTTTCCTTTATTGATTTTAGAGAGAGAGGAAGGGAGAGGGAGAGAGAGAAACATCGATGAGAGAGAACATCGACTGGCTGCCTCCTGCATGCCCCCCACTGGGGATCGGGCCCACAACCTGGGCATGTGCCCTGACCGAGAATCGAACGGGTGACCTCTTGGTTCAGGGGTCGACACTCAACCACGGAGCCACACCAGCGGGGCAGGATCCTCGTTGAAAAGCAAACTTTCTTAGACAGGAGAAGGCCCAGGACGAGGGAGGGGCGCTTTGAACCCTAGAAGGCAGAGGCCCCGGGGACGGGAGAGTGACCCAGCTCACCCTCCGAAGGTGGTCCCGACGGAGGCCACCTCCCGTCCGCATGCGCACTCACCATCGCCCACCGCCAGTCCTGCCATTTCCCGGTCACCAGGGCTGGGCTCCGCCGCCCTCCGCCTGCTGCCTCTGCCTCCGGAGATCGCCCGGCCTCGGCGCGGCCAGGGATGGGGTGGGGGCATTAAACATTAACAGTGCCAGCTAATATTTAGCCTGGTCACAAGAACGGCTGCGGACAGAGGGTCCCGCCCCGGCACGAGGGGGTGCTCGGCAGGCAGGCGCTGGCCGGGGCCCCGACTCTCTCCAGAGGAAATTTCCAGGAAGGGGCCGGGGCTGGTTGTCCGTGGTGTTTTCCACGAGCTGGAGAAGCCACGGCTGGGCCTGCAGCCCCGGGTGGTGGGAATTTCAGACTATATTCCGTGTCCACTGGAACCGGGGGGCAGCGGCAGGGTCCCCGGAGGCCCACCCCTGGCAGCCGTCTGCCCCCCCAAGCCACGCAGAGACCCCTGTTTCAGCTGGGGTTTCCTTGGTGCTCGCGGCTGTCCTGGGTGGGTGCCCAGGTGCCCGTGCCCTCCCAGCTCCTGGCCCACCCTGGGCCTCCATGCCAGGCCTCTCCTCCGGGCCTCGCTCAGCTTCTTGGCGCATGGAGCAGCCACGCGCCAGTGAGGAGGCTCGTCACCCGGACTGCGCCCTCCGTCCGGCCAGCCCCCGCCCTGCCCGCAGGCCGCCCGCTCAGCCTGGCTCTGTGTTCCCACGCCAGCTCCCAGCGTGGCGCTGAGGCCTCGGGAAGGGGCCACGTCTGACCACGGGCCCTGCTTTTGTGATGCACGAAGCATTGTCATGACTGTTGTTCCTTGGTGTGGTTTGGTGTCCCCATTTCACAGCTGAGTTGTCTGTGGCTCTGCCCCAGGTCACACAGCCAGCCTGGGGCGGCTGTAGGAATCAGGTGCTTTTCCTACCTCCGAGTCCCCTCCGCCCCCATGGCCTCCTGCACCCCGGGCCCTGGCGCTGGGCACTCCGTAAGCGCTCAGACTGCTGGCTGAGTTCCAGTCCGGTGCATTGACCTCCAAGCAAAGCTGGTGCTCGGTCGTATCCAAGGCCAGTGGTCAGTGTCCCCTGGGAGCTGGTTAGTGGTTCCAAAGGGGACGAGTCCACCTGCTAATCCTCCTTGAGCAGGTGGGGGTCAAGGTTTGCGTTCACTTCCTGCCTCCTCCTCCCGCTAAGTGTGTGGCCTCTGGCAAGTGACTTATGTTCTCTGCGCCTCAGTGTCCTTGTCTGTAAAGTGGGGCTACTCCCCGTCTCACAGGGCACGGGGCCCGCCCACGCGTGTTGTCTTGTCACGTGGCCCCGGACCCGGGACACCCTCCCCAATCTCTGCTGCTCTCGGGGCCAAGCGGCGAATAACCGTGGAAACGGACGACGGCGCTCAGGGTGCTGGGGTTGACCCACGGCCACTAACCCTGTCCCAGCGAGTCCAGGTTTGTCCTTCTGCAGACAAACAGGCTGAGGCTGACCCTTTGCCCCCCAAAATGACCCCGGGGGTGGCCCAGGCATGGCTGGAATCCCTCCCCACCGGGACAGCAGAAAGACAGCACAGGGAGGTCGAAGGACTTGTCTGAACACCCCGATCGGGACAGAACCAGGGCTGGAGCCAGGCCCCCAGGGCCTCCGCTGCCTCCGCAGGGGCGTGGGGCTCCGTCCGCCCTCCGGGGTGTGTGTGTCTGTAACCACGGGTGTCCTTTCCGGAGTGACAGGGGATGTAAAAACAGGTGGAAAGATAGGTGCATGGGTGGACAGACAGACAGGTGGACAGATGGGTGATGAGAGACAAAGGGGGAGCAGGAAAAGCCCGTTGACCCTGCGGCTCTGAGCTCCGTGTGCAGGGCGCTGGGCAATGTTCCAAGCACATCACGAAAACGGAGTCGTCTGATCAGCACAGTTCAGAGAGGCCAGGAAGGCTTTGTCATCTCCCTGGGTTATAGACGGAGGAACGGGAGCAGAGAATTTAAAGAACGTGCCAGAAGTCAGGCGGCAGGAAGTGGAGAAACCAAGATTTGAACCCAGTAGCCTGGCTTCAGAGTTCCTGCGATGGACAGAGGGGTGGACAGACAGACAGACAAGGAGGGTGTTGGACATGTTGTCTGGCCAGCGCTAGCCGCTCAGAGGCGTTCAGAGCGTGGCCCACAGGGAGCCCACCACGCCACCCAGCGTGGCCCACCCGGTGCCACCGAGACATCTCGTTTGGAAACCCTGCCCCTCCTCGGCTCTGCTTCTCCTGCACCTCCGGGTGCACTGGAAAGTCATGAGGTCACACCCGTGTCAGAGTCTGAGAAGGGGGGAAGGATGGGCTTAGGGACTCACCCAGGTACCACCTGTCCATGGCAGGAGCTGCCGGCCGTGTCCCTGCTGGAAGAGTCTGAAGTGGCCGCTGCGAGGGCCTGACGGCGAGTAGCCCTCCCTCCCTCCACACCTCAGCCAAAGCCGGACGGGACAGACGGGGCAGGGAGGAGGGGCTGGCAGCCCTCGCCTGGTGCCAGCCTGGGCGGGCTGAGGCCAGGGAGCCATGTAGGGGGCGGGGGCACCGAGAAGGGGAAGTGTGAGCCCTGCCAGGCAGACAGCAGCCCACACGGCCCCTGCTCTGGGGTGCTCGGGGTGCTGGCAGCCCGGGGTGCTCAAAGGCAACCAGAAGCCGGGAGCGAGGCAGAGGCCGGAGCCAGCAGTATCCGCCATGCTCTCTGCCCAGCCCTGGGGCTGCTGCTGGCATTTGTGGGTCCCCCCGAGCCTTTATTGAGCTGCGCCTCATTCCTCAGTTAGGCCTTGGCCCCGATGTCCCTGTCCCAAGGCCCCACCCTGTCGCTGGGAGCCCCTGGAGACAGCCAGCCCCCGGGATGCCACCCTGGGTGCAGAGGGCTGCTCCGGGTCATTGCCGCAGGGGCAGAGATGAGGAGCTGCTGCTCCGTGGTACCCCGCCCTTCCTCGGCCGGGGCCGCCACGTGGCCCAGTGACTTACCACAGGCGGTGACGTCACCCCCGCCAGCAGCCCACCTGGAGCACGGCAGCCTCACGAGGGGAACGGCCAGAAGACACAGCAGGTGTGGGGCCTGCCCAGCTGGAGCAGGAGCAGGGACGGCAGAGGGGTCCCCACACTGGTCCCCGTTCCTGGCTGCTGAGGCCTCTGACAGCCAGAGCAGGCGACCAGCCCCTCCGTGGGCCCTGCTCGGCCGTCCCAGCACAGACACGGCAGCAGGGGCGGCAGGGTGCTGACCAGTGACAGCTCACCTCTGTCCCTCCTCCTGGGGGGCGGCTGGTGTTGCCCACAGAGAGCAGCCTGCAAACCTCTGCAGATGGAGAGGGCCGCCCGGCTGGGCTGACATCTGTCCTGGCCCCCGTCCTGACTCGGGGCTCCTCAGGCTCACCCCACCTCGCAAGACGGGGCACACCCCTCCGAGGGCAGAGCCGCTCACGTGCCAGGCCTGTGGCACGTCCCCAGGTGGGGACCCGTGTGCTCAGCCAGCCAGCAATGCCGAGCGGAGCTGCCCCAAGGAGCACTCGGAGGTCCCTAAACCTTGGGGTCATGCGGAACTTTGGAGGTGACCTGTCCGAACACATCAGTGGTTCAGAAAAGTGGGTACCTCAGCCAGACCCCCCACACACACACACATACTCTGAAGGAAGACTGTTCCATCGCACACAGACCTGGGGTCACCCCACCCAGCCCCTCACTCCACAGAGGGTTCGCGCTCCTGCTCACGCCCTCCTGGGGCTCAGAGATGAAGCCCAAGTGCCCTTCTGGTCTCACAGAGCCCTTCCCAGTGGGACCCCGTGACCTCTCTGACCTTGGCCCTTCTCTGCGGCAGCCACGCTGTTCTCTGGGGGGCCCCACCCTCAGGGCACGCTGCCTGGGCCCCTGCACCCGCCGATCCTCTCTGGGGGGCCCCACCCTCAGGGCACGCTGCCTGGGCCCCTGCACCCGCCGATCCTCTCTGAGGGGGCCCCACCCTCAGGGCACGCAGCCTGGGCCCCTGCACCCGCCGATCCTCTCTGAGGGGAGCCCACCCTCAGGGCACGCTGCCTGGGCCCCTGCACCCGCCGATCCTCTCTGGGGGGGCCCCACCCTCAGGACACGCTGCCTGGGCCCCTGCATCCGCCGATCCTCTCTGAGGGGGCCCCACCCTCAGGGCACGCTGCCTGGGCCCCTGCACCCGCCGATCCTCTCCGAGGGGGGCCCCACCCTCAGGGCACGCTGCCTGGGCCCCTGCACCCGCCGATCCTCTCTGAGGGGGCCCCACCCTCAGGGCACGCAGCCTGGGCCCCTGCACCCGCCGATCCTCTCTGAGGGGAGCCCACCCTCAGGGCACGCTGCCTGGGCCCCTGCACCCGCCGATCCTCTCCGAGGGGGCCCCACCCTCAGGACACGCAGCCTGGGCCCCTGCACCCGCCGATCCTCTCTGAGGGGGCCCCACCCTCAGGGCACGCTGCCTGGGCCCCTGCACCCACCCGCCGATCCAAGAACACCTTTCCTGCCGAGACCCTCTGGGCCAACCCCCCACAGAAGCCCCCTCAGCACCCCGTCCGTCATGCCCGCCCACTCTCTCCACCACCTTTCCACCCCTCCCTGGCTTTACTTTCCCCAGCAGCCCTTATATCTGATGTGACTTTTCCTTACTGTGTTTCTCGTCTCTCCTTTGACTGAAACTTAAGCTCCGGGGGAACAAGGACTTGTTTCTTGTGCTCAGTCCCAGACCCCCGGCGCCCAGAATGAGGCGGGCATGGGATGAACCCCAGTGTCACTGAATGAATACGTCCCAGAGATCCAACCCCCTGGTGGCACAGGCAGACCCAGAACTCAGGCCGCTTCCTGTGTGTCCTGCCCTATGACAGGGAGCAAGACCTTCTCGGCTCCCACAGAGAGAAGCGGGGGGTCGGCACCCGCTGACAGCTCCCCAGAGTCCTTCCTGAGGAGTCCCCATCCCTACCCCTCTCCTCCCGAACCCCCGCCCCCACCCCGGCCTCCACCACGAGCTCCGTGGCCACTCTCACAATAGAGCTCCTGTGTCCTTTCCGGGGACACCTGGGCACTAAGGGTCCGGGGTGTCATCCTTCCTCCTCACTCACGCCCCGTCCCTCCTCAGACCCTCCTTGTCCTCCACACCCAGCTGACCGGGGGTCAGGTCCTGGCTGCCACCTGGGACAGAAGCCCTTTGCTCAGACACCTGCCCCCCGAGAGCAGCCCAGGCGGGCCCCACGGGTGTCCGCTCGCCGAGGCCCGACACACCCTGCTCAGATCCCTTAGCATCCGGGTTCCCACTGCAGGCTGTGGTCCTGGGACGGTCCCCTCTGGGTCTCCTCCTCTCGTCCACAATGAGATGGCAGCACCTACCTGGGGAGCTGTCGTAGGAACTGAGGTGGTAGGGATCCAATGTCTTGGCCAGGAGGTCCTCACCCCGAGCTGGCCTTCCGGAACAAAGACAGTCACCATGACCCCTTCCCTGGGCTGGTCCCCTTCTGGAACAAGGACAGTCACCATGACCCCTTCCCTGGGCTGGTCCCCTTCTGGAACAAGGACAGTCACCGTCACCCCTTCCCTGGGCTGGGTTCCCTTCCGGAACAAGGACAGTCACCGTCACCCCTTCCCTGGGCTGGTCCCCTTTTGAAACAAGGACAGTCACCGTAACCCCTTCCCTGGGCTGGTCCCCTTCTGGAACAAGGACAGTCACCGTAACCCCTTCCCTGGGCTGGTCCCCTTTTGAAACAAGGACAGTCACCGTAACCCCTTCCCTGGGCTGGTCCCCTTCTGGAACAAGGACAGTCACCGTCACCCCTTCCCTGGGCTGGTCCCCTTTTGAAACAAGGACAGTCACCGTAACCCCTTCCCTGGGCTGAGTCCCCTTCTGGAACAAGGACAGTCACCGTAACCCCTTCCCTGGGCTGGTCCCCTTCTGGAACAAGGACAGTCACCGTAACCCCTTCTCTGGGCTGGTTCCCTTCTGGGTGGTCTTTCCAACAAGATCCCAGAGAGCCTTCCACTCCCTGACCCTCAGCATGACCTCGGCCGACCTACCCCCACCTGGCCCCCGACTTGCTTTCCCTCCCTGCTCAGCCACGCAGCGACTGTTCCCGGCCGGGGTCCCCCCTGTTCTCCCAGAGGTCCCCAGGCCAAGTGGGGTGGGAGTGCGACCTCACCCCAGGAAGGGGAGAGCAGGTGAATCCTGCACCCCTCCCTTTGTTAGACTGTCCCAAGCTGATGGAAACAGGGCCACCCAGCCACACTTTGCTGTGCCCCCAAGACCAGAGATCAAGATCTTTGAGAGGTACGGAGAAGTAGCCCCAAATTCCTCTGCCAATACTGACACGGCCCATGGCCCTGCCTCAGTCTCCCCTGCTTTTCCCCAGCAGACGGGGCCACCGCTGGCTCGGTGGGGAGGGGTCACTACCACGCCGGCCGGCTGAGCGGTCGCCTGGTGCTCGGAGCCCTCAGCGCCAGCTCCCCCGAGGGGACTGCCAGCCACCAGCCTGCGTGTCTGGGCTGCCCGGCAGAGTGCACGCCACGGGCCCCAGGTCCCGGTCGCTCTCCCTGCTGATGGCTCGCAGCCGGCAAGGGGCCAGAAGCCCCTAGAAAGCCCCAGGTGTCAGCTGCATGGCGCAGCGAGGTGGAGGCTCTCGGGCCCATCGGTGCTGCCCCGAGATCCTGAGCCCAGGGGTGCTGGCTCCTGTCCCCGCTGTGGCCACAGATGCCAGGGTCACTGGGGTCTTATAGGGCGGGCCCAGGAGGAGGTGGGCCCTAGAGGGTCCATTCCTTAAGTGTCGGCCTCAAGATGACCGAGCTGTGGGGCACCGAGGTCCTGGGAGCTGCCAAGGGGCACTGTGCTCTGAGTCAAGGTCACCGTGTCCTCTCTGCTCCCTGAGCAGGCCGGGCATGGGGACATTTTCTTCTCTCCACAGCTGGAGGACAAGGGCAAACCTGTTTGACCCCCCTCCCTACAGTGAATACCCCGGAGAGAAATGCACTCTGGCCTTTTCTCAGAACTCCGGGCCAAACCACAGCACAGACTGCTTCTCTCCAGCCGCCGTGCTCCTGTCCCAGTAACCACGTCTCTCCCGACCTCGGAGAGGCAGCTGCAGGCCCGCCACCACCTCCAGGAAGGCAGCCAGGAGCAACCCCGCCACCACCTCCAGGAAGGCGGCCAGGAGCAACCCCGCCACCACCTCCAGGAAGGCGGCCAGGAGCAACCCCGCCACCACCTCCAGGAAGGCGGCCAGGAGCAACCCCGCCACCACCTCCAGGAAGGCGGCCAGGAGCAACCCTGCCACCACCTCCAGGAAGGCGGCCAGGAGCAACCCCCCTGTGCTCCTTCCTTTCCTCCATGACCCACGACCCCGGAAGACCTGCTTCGGGCTCCACACTCCCTTCCTCGTTTGTTACCCAGGCGGCCAGGCCTCTCCTGGCCTGAGGGCTCAGGTCCTGTGTCTGGTGGACACCTGTCTCTGCTGTCTGCCACCTGGCTCTCCTCGCCGAGTAGCAGGTGCACCCATCTTGTGCTCCTCGACGGCTCCAAAGAGCCTCCTGGATCGGCTCGTGCCCCTGACCACCCCGCCCAGCGTCCCAGGGAGGAAACCGCCATGGCGCACGGGCAAGCCAACACTTGAACCCTGGTCAGGCGGACAGAGGGGACCCTGCTATCAAAGAGAGAGGACAGGGAAATGGCTAATAACATCCATGTTAGTAACATAGTATCTACATGTAGAGTCTCCCAAGTCGTGTTACATCCACTGCGTCACTTTGACCTTGTGCAGTAACAGGAAAGGTGTTTGCGGACCCATTGTACAGTCAGGGAAACCGAGGCTCACGCGGCCCGGCTTCCCCTATGGCTAGGAAGGGCCTCATTTGCAGAGAAGGAAACACAGAGCTGAGGTCTGCCCAAGCTCAGACAGTGGGGAGAAGAGGGGAACAGGAGAATGCCCCGAGTCCTTCTGCTGTACCAGGAACCCACTCTTTGGGACAGTGCAGGGGCCCACCCCCAACAGCCCCTACCCCCCAGACCTTCAGAACACCCTGCCGTGGCATCACCTGCACTGACTTGGCCGGTGCCCCGCTATTATGCAACCAGGCATGGGGCTGGGGTTGGTCCCATAAAATCAACAGTTAGTTGGCTTGAGCTGGCCGATTTGGCCCCCCGGAGTCCGGCGGTGACAGCAATGAATCACATTAATGGTGAGAGGTGACTGTTCTTCCTCCTGTGGCCTGGAGACAGGTATTTCCAAAGCTCCTCCCCGGCTCAAGAAAACACGCCTGACCTACCTTCGTCCCCCTGTCCCCAGGGTGAGGCAAGCAGCCAGGGACGGGTGGGTGAACCAGACAGAGCTGGACTGCCCTCCCCCACCAGCTCTCTGCCACGCAGCCTGGGCAGGGGACCAGGAGCCCCGACTTGGGGTGTGCTTCAGCCTTGCATACCCCCCCCCCCCCCCGCTCCTTGCACTCGCTTCTGACTCACTTGCAAGGACAATCCGGCAAGTTCCAACCCACAACCTGCAAAAAAAGCCAGAGCGGCGGGGGGAGGGGGGGGCTGCAGCCTGGGGGCCCACGGGGCAGGTTGACCTTTCACTTGGTGTCAAGTAACACAAACACCTCCATGCACACGGACCTCAAAATCCTTGGAGTGGAATTTACAGGGGGCGTGGGGGTCACTGGGAGGTGATATGTGCGGGACCGCAAGGTCACCGAGACCGGGAGACAGCATCCCCGTCGGGAAACAGCATGGCGGGCAGCTCTCCTGGTCAACCAAGTCACCTCATCTGTGTCTGACTGGGTTACAGTCACAGGCACGTGCCGAGGCCCAGGGGACAGACATGCTCCCGTCGGGAAGGAACACACACGCCAACCCTCGCCTGGGTTCTGGACCCTTCTCCCCTGGCACTGCAGGGCCAGCCCAGCAAGGGGCAGGCTCGCCCACTGGTGAAGGGGGCGGGGCCTCCCACTGTGGGCTGGACACTCAGGTCCCCGGGCAGGTTCTCAAGGTCGTTTTGCCTAGAGGGTCCCACTAGCTGCTCATTCCCTGCAGCTCAAACACTCCCAGCGGGGGACCCGCTCGTTCGGGGCCACACGCCTGTGGGAAGGAAGGGCTCCCTCCCGTGGAAGCCAGCTCTGCCGCCCTCCCGTGTGCCCGACGCCTGTGTGCCCTCCGCTGCGGGGCAAGAGCGCTGGCCTGGGCTGACCCAGGCTTTGCCGGCAGGAGTGGAAGGTTGGTTGGCAAGTGTGGCTAGGCGTCTACATAAAACAGTCTGCAGCCTGTGAGTTGAGTGTTCGTGCTGGTGAAGTCCTCCGCCCAGCGGTCAGCAACAGCAAGTGCTTGGCGACCGTCATCATCACCATCATCACCGCCATCAGATTGCTCTTCCCGTGCGTTTCCAGGCCGCTCACCTCCCCCGCGACCCTCCCCGGAGCAGCCTGGCTGATCGATGCCTGGAAGGGACCCCAGGAACCTTGGATGTGGCGAAGCTCAGGTGATGCTCCCCTTGTCTGGATTCCAGCCCCCCCCCCCCCCCAAGGAGGCCACGTGGTGTGCCCTGCAGAGCTCTGGGGACAGGCCGTGGCCCTCGACCAGCCGCGAGCTATCTGGGGGTGTCCACCTGCGCCCCCTGCCTGCCCCGGCGGTACTGCTGGATTACCAGGAGGAGCAAATGCTTGGAGGCTGGCGACAGGGACACAGCGTTCACACCTGCAGGGAGAAGGGTCACTCTCTAGTAGTAGCCCAGCTGTCACTACCAGGAACCCAGAGCCTCCCTACTGGGCTCCGTACACTGGTCTACAGCTGTGTCATCTTTAATAGTGGCTGCAGGGCCTGGGCCTCCACCGCTCTCCGTGCGGCCGTGGCGAAGCCGCTACAAGGCCAGAAGCCCCGAGCCGAGTGCTCCGTGGTGGGTGAGCACTGGCCTAGTCACAGGGCCAAGCATGACCAGGCCTCTGGACCACAGGGATCCCTGGGCTGACAGTGCTGAGCTTGACCTCAACTAGAAGCCTTTCTTTTCAAAGTCCTGGGGGCCTGAAGGCAGAAGCTAAACAGCAGTGGTGCGGGCAGCGTGGGGGTCGGGTGGGGAGCCGGGGTGGGGTTCAGGTGGGGGTTGGGTGGGGCTGGGGTGGGGGTCAGGTGGGGAGCCAGGGTGGGGTTCAGGTGGGGGTCGGGTGGGGAGCCGGGGTGGGGTTCAGGTGGGGAGCCGGGGTGGGGGTCGGTGGGGAGCCGGGGTGGGGGTCGGTGGGGAGCCGGGCAGGGGTGGCTGGACCCCCAGGCCCTCAGGACCGCCAGGCTGTGGCTCCAATCAGCTCATGAGATCTACGCAGGCCTACGGACAGGTTCGAGTCCGTAAGATGTTCCAGGCATTCTTACGTTAGAATAAGACAGTAGCCCTCTGGACACTGATCTCAGGAGAGACACCCGAACAGAGGGGGCCACACACCAACGCTGTCCAGAGGGAACTGTCTGCAGCTGTGTTTATTTGGCCAACGGCACTTTTTAGAAAACCAGATGGGAATGCCTTTGGGAAGACACTCCAGGTGGCCCAGAGCCCTGTGCCCCACCTGTGCCCCGAGAGCTGGCTCACGGGGGGACGCTGCCTGCCTGGCCTCGACCGCCGGATCCAAGCTACGGAGTATTACCGGTGACGGTGACGGCAGGGACCAGTGTGACCAGGGCACAGAAAGGGACTCGTTCTACCTCAAGTCCAGGCGGGCTTCACAGAGGAGGGGGCATTCGGATGGGCAGAAAGAGAAAAGCTTGGATCATAACCCAAGTGGCCACCTACGCTCCCCTTTGCCAAATCCTTAGGTAGTAGCTCAGAACCGACACAGGGCGAGGTCAGAACCTTTCATTCCGGGCCAGTGAGCCCCCGTCAGGCCGCTGGGGCTGGGACTCCCCTCTCCAGGGCAGGCGCAGGGGCAGGTCCTGGGCCCACGAGTGGGAGGGGGTGGGGGAAACAGCAGGAGTGAGGGCGGGAGGGGGAGGGGGAGGGGGCTGGGTGGAGGAGGAGAGGAAGGGGAGGGCGCAGCATTGGGGAGACTGAGCAGGGGCCGGACAAGCCCTCCCTCCCTGGCCAAGGAGACCCTCCGGCTCTTCACACGCTGCGTCTTGCACAGAAAGGAGCACCTGAGCCACGGGGAACAAGGTACTGTATTCCTTGTCGGGGACAGATCACAGCACACAGCGGTCCTGCCACAGGTCGACTGGTTTCCACAACAACACGATGCAGGGGGCGGGGTCTGGCTGGACTTTCCACTCTCTTGCTGTCCCCGCAGGGCTGCAGGGGCCCTGGCTGGTCTCTGACCCACACACAGCCCCTGCACTCCCCCGACCGGTGACAGGCGGGGCTGGGGGTGCCCAGTGGCCGCGGTCAGAGAGGCGGAGGACCCGCTCAAGGGTGGGAGTCCGAGTCCCGACCAGCTGGGCTATAAACCAGTCTTGGAAGCAGGGGAGGGCCGCGGAGGGGTGGGGTCCAGAGGCCGAGGGGTTATTGCTGAGAAGATGCGAGGGGCACGTCCCCAGGGGCAGGGTTCGAGCCTGGGCCTGGCTGCCGGCCACTCCGCACTGGGAGCTCCATAGAGGAAGCCCCAGGAGAAAGGTGCCACGAAGGGGTGTCGCCTGCCTGAAGGCCAAGTGGGGCTCACCAGCTCCTCGCTGAGGGCCTCGTCGCTGGGCCCCTCAGCACAGACTGAGCTCAGAGGTGGGGTACGGGAGCCAGGCCCTTGCAGGAGTGAGGCGAGGCTATGAACGACTGGGGGTGATGGATGTGGACCTTCCCAAGTCCCAGGACGAGGGGAGGCTCCCACTGGGCCCCAACCGGACACACACCTCTGAATGACAGAAGGGACTGGCCTCGGGGGGCGGAGGGGGAGCGGCGGGGAGCAGGGAGGAGCTGCCGGTGACAGGGCTCGGCTCCAGCGGGAAGGAGTCCAGGGTCACGGAACATCAGCCACAGACAAGCAGCCACGAGACCACGGTCCACACACACGCGCGCACACACACACGCCACAGGAGGTGGACAAGCCCACGGCTGCAGCCGGGAGGGGGTTCGCTGCGGCACGGACGTGGAGGACGGGTGTTGGGGGGACGCCGAGTTCTCTTCTCCGGGGAAGGTCTGCGGCCGGAGTGGCTGGTTTCCTTAAGCATCGACATTTGCATCTACAGGTTCAAGCTGCCGCCTGCAGGGTCTGGGGGCTGGAAAGGGAGAGAATTTAAATTAACACAGAGCTCGGGCTCCTCAGAAATCTTAGGCCCGGCTGGAGCGGCTCCGTTGGTTGAACAGTGTCCTGTGCACCAAAAGGTGGCCGGTTCGATCCCCGGTCGGGGCACACATCTGGGTAGCGGGTTCGATTCCCAATCAGGGCACACATCTGGGTTGCGGGTTCGATTCCCAATCGGGGCACACATCTGGGTTGCGGGTTCGATTCCCAATCGGGGCACACATCTGGGTTGCGGGTTAGATTCCCAATCGGGGCACACATCTGGGTTGCGGGTTCGATTCCAGGCCAGGGCACGTACGGAAGGCAACTGGTCCGTGTCTCTCACACGGATGCTCCCCTCCCCTCTCCTCCTTCCTCTCTACGCATGTCTTCGGACGAGGATGAAAAGATAGAAATCTTGTCTCCCTGGCTTTAATGGCCCCTCTGTCCACTGACACCCACAGGGGAGGCCCACCCTAGGGCCGTGTTCCTGGTGACAAGGACAAGGCTGCCACACAGGGAAGGAGACAGGGCACAGGGCGGGAGCCTGGCTACAAGGACAGGAAACTGCGACACGCGGTCTCCATCCCAGGACAGCGAACAGCCCCAGTTCTGGGCCTGGGAGAGGGGCTCTGAGCACGTCCTGGTGAAAGAGCAGCCACAGCAGCACCCGACTGCGAGGCTGAGCTGCCCAGCCCAGCCCGGGCTCGACCCGCCGGCTGCCGCGAGGGGCTCCAACTCCGACATGCCTCCAAGGCGGGCCGCAGCCTGCCCAGCCCAGCCCAGCCCAGCCCAGGCCCTGACCCGCCGGCTGCCCGGAGGGGCTCCGACATGCCTCCAAGGCGGGCCGCAGCCTCCCCGGCTCAGGAGGCCCTGCGCCACGGGCCCTCTCTGCCCTCCTGGCCCACGGGCTGTCAAAGCAGGAAGGAGGAGCCCAGATGCTGCGGGAACACGCGTGCCCTCCCGTGGGGGAAGCTGCCGGGCCGGGCACCGCCATCCAGATCTCCCCTGCCCCACAGCTCGGGTGGCGCAGATGCCTGACTTGTGTTTAAACACAGACAGAAGAGACAAGAGTGAGCGGAGAGACGGCTGCTCCCAGGCCAGCATTTCCAGGTCGGCCGTGCAGGCGGCGGGGCAGAGGGTGGGGCAAGGACAGCACTGGGTCCAAGGCCGGGCAGGTCCCGCCTGTCCCTCACCGTCCAGGGCGGCGCTCGGCCCAGCTGCAGCTTCATCGGCAGAGGGGCGCACCCCGCCGTCCGCTTATGACAGGCTCCAGCCAGTGTGGGCGACAGCGTTTTGGAAACAGTAACACATTTAACAGCTGTCCTTGCCCTTGTCCCTGCGGGGGGCAGCGGGGGCCACTAACCAGGGCTCCGACCTCTGAGGCCACCGCACTGGGGTGCGGGAGGGCCGCACACTTCTCCCGGCGCTCTGGGGGGCAAGTTTCGTACTAAATGGTTCACGTCACAGTGGCCCCAAGGAACCCTCTGAATCACCGCGAAAGGCCATGACGCGAGACTACCCCGAGACCAGGAGCATCTGACGGCTGGGCGTCCTCTCCCAGCCGCACCCACGCGGTCCCCGTGGGCCTGGCCGCTGGCTGGGCGGTGCCGTCCTCCCCTCACCCCTTCGTCGTCCCCTCACCCCTTCGTCGTCCCCTCACCCCCTGGGCACAGGGCTCAGAAGAAAGCTGTGCCCAAGGCAAAGGCCAGCCGGGCCCCCCTGCAGAGCGGTGGCGAGGAGGGCGGAGACCGGTCTTACCTTCCCTGAGGGCGGCCCTTCAGTTCTCTGTTTTCTGGGGCCCCGTGGCTGGAAGGAGAGGAGAACAGATCACAGCAAGGGGGCCCCACCCCAGGCCCCCCCCAGCAGGGATGCCTGTGCCTGGCTCAAGCGGCAGAGATGACCGTGGGGGACTTCCGGTCAGACCGGCCTGGTCACAGGAGCTTGGCACTGTCTAACTCTGAGTCCCCCCACGGTAACGCTGAGCACGACACCCCCTCAGGGGCTGTGGGCACACTGAACGGGAGGGGGCTGGGACACGCCCGAGACCGCGGCGGTCAGGAGGGCAGCCTGTCGGGTGCAGGTGAGGACGTGGGGAGGGGCTGGGACAGTTACCATTCGCAGTGATGAGGTTCTCCACCTGGGCCTCCTCGTCCCCCGGGGCCCTGCAGGAGGAAAGCACAGCCCTCCGTCAGGCGGGCAGGGGGCCCGGACACGTCGGGGGCCAGCACTCAGGGGCAGGGAGCCGTCGGGACTGCAGGGGTGGAGCCAGGGCCTCCTTCAGGGTCAGCCCCCGGAGAACGAAGTACTGGGAAGGGTGACTGAGGGCCCCTGGGGGCATGGGCTCTGCCCAGACTTCGGACTCTGAGGGTCAGAGCTGCCCTCGGCCATGGTGGGGGGATGGGCCCTGTGGAGAGGTGACCAGCGGGCCGTGTCACAGCCTGAGAGAGGAGAGAACCTCTGCGGCCCCGGAGTCCAGCACCTCCGCCCTCCCTCCCCACACTCCGCAGGAGGGAAGGGCTCACTAACCCGCTGTCTGCCTGGCAATCCTACAACTTCAGCCCTGCCCTCAAGGCAAGCCTCTAACACACTCACTGGGCCGTGCACCGGGGGACCCCTGCCCCCCACCACCCGAAGGCCCACGGCCACGTGTCCTCACCGGGGCTTCTGGCTGAAACCGCACTTGCATCTGCGACCTGAAAGGGAAGGACACGTCCAAGGCCGTGCTCCGGGCTCGAGTCCCAGGTCACGCTCCAGCTTGCCCACAGTGGGCTACCCTGAGCCGGGGCAGGCTGTGCCCCCCGCCCTCCTGCATCAGCACCAGGAGGGTCCCCCACCCTCCTGCATCAGCACCAGGAGGGCCCCTGCCCCCTCACTGTGCCCTGTGCCCCCCACCCTCCTGCATCAGCACCAGGAGGGCCCCTGCCCTCTCCCTGTGCCCTGTGCCCCCCACCCTCCTGCATCAGCACCAGGAGGGCCCCTGCCCTCTCCCTGTGCCCTGTGCCCCCCACCCTCCTGCATCAGCACCAGGAGGGCCCCTGCCCCCTCACTGTGCCCTGTGCCCCCCCACTGTGCCCTGTGCCCCCCACCCTCCTGCATCAGCACCAGGAGGGCCGCCTGCCCCCTCACTGTGCCCTGTGCCCCCCACCCTCCTGCATCAGCACCAGGAGGGCCCCTGCCCTCTCCCTGTGCCCTGTGCCCCCCACCCTCCTGCATCAGCACCAGGAGGGCCCCTGCCCTCTCCCTGTGCCCCCCCCCTCCTGCATCAGCACCAGGAGGGCCCCTGCCCCCTCATTGTGCCCTGTGCCCCACACCCTCCTGCATCAGCACCAGGAGGGCCCCTGCCCCCTCATTGTGCCCTGTGCCCCACACCCTCCTGCATCAGCACCAGGAGGGCCCCTGCCCCCTCACTGTGCCCTGTGCCCCACACCCTCCTGCATCAGCACCAGGAGGGCCCCTGCCCCCTCATTGTGCCCTGTGCCCCCCACCCTCCTGCATCAGCACCAGGAGGGCCCCTGCCCCCTCACTGTGCACTGTGCCTGTGCCCCCCGCCCTCCTGCATCAGCACCAGGAGGGCCCCTGCCCCCTCACTGTGCACTGTGCCTGTGCCCCCCGCCCTCCTGCATCAGCACCAGGAGGGCCCCTGCCCCCTCACTGTGCCCTGTGCCCCCCGCCCGCCTAGCAGCAGACCCCGCGCTTACGGGGCGCAGAGACTCACTCAGGATGAGCAGGATCCCGACAGAGAAGAAGACGACAGCGAACGCCAAGCCTCCGATCCTCAGCGTCTGGTAGTCTGCCGGAGGAGCAGGGCGAGAGATGGCAGGGGGTGGGCTGGGGAGCCTGCCCCCCTCCCAGGGCGAGAGATGGCAGGGGGTGGGCTGGGGAGCCTGCCCCCCTCCCAGGGCGAGAGACGGGGTGGGGGCCGGAGGCCGAGAGCCTGCCCTGCCCCGGGCAGCCCGCCCCACTCACCATAATGAAAAGGGTCCTTCTCCTCCTGCTCAACGGCTGCATCAGCTGCATCGGCTGCATCGGCTGCAGAGACAAACACGCTCCTTGGGACAGGTGGCTGGCACAGGCCAGAGCCTGCAGACCGCCGTGCAGGTCTGCCCCCAACTGCGGGCCTGGTGGCTCGAGGCTCAGGAGCGGAGCCTGCGGGAGCCTGGGGGGAGGGCTGGGCTGGCCAGATGAGGGTCAGTGAACAGCAGCTGCCTTGTCTGCTGGGCCAGGGGCAGGGCCCTAGAGTCCCAAAGAGCCAGGACCTCCCCCGGAAAGGCCATGGCTGCCCCCCACCGGAGCCAGGTCGGGGCGCACTTACCGCTGGCTAGGACGGCAGGGGCCAGCAGGCCACACAGGAAGATCAGCACCACCGCCATGGCGTCTGGGGGCAGAGGGAGGGAAAGCAGCCTCTGGGTCCCTGGGCGGGAGAAGCCCACTCCCCCCCAGCCTGCCCGGGCCCAGCGGGTCCCCAGCTGTGCTCTGAGCGCTCCCCTCTGGTCAGAGTTCAGACAGAGCAGAAGCTGCCCCTCAGCGGACCCCGCCGAGCCCAGGGGGCCCTCGCTGGGCCGGCCTCGGTCACCAGACCTTGGATTTAAGACACATTTCTGGTGCGTATGTCCCATGGGGAAATTAACACCTGTTCATTTTTAAATGCTTTGAACCAAGATTTGCTTGTAATTAAATGAACAGGTTATTTTTTGTCGTTAATTCACTGTCCTTTTGAACACATTATAGCGAATAGGCCATCCGTAGGAATTCCGCCGACATAAATAAATGTCACGTGTCTACAGCGAGGGTCTAGTGTTTAAATCCAGGCACTGCTCGTGAACAACGTCCGGGCGATTACCAGGCGGCCACACGGCATCGAGGTCACTGGCTTTCCCTGGGGACTTTCTGCACCCCACCGTGCACCTGTTTGCTTGCGGGGACCAGGGACGGCGCGCATTTACTAGACCTATTCGGAATCAATGTACAATGACAGCGATCCGTGCAGAAAACCTAAACTTTCCAGTCTTCATTTTAATTGCACAAACGTAAGACCAGGTAAGCTAACCTGTTAATTTTCTAACGCGCGCATCAGGGAAACCGCGTGACTCACCAACGGACTCAGCCCTGCCAGATGCCCAGCAGAAGGAGCCGGTTCTGCGGGGGGTTTACTCCTCCGCTGCTCCCACCAGCCACGGCCACGGAGCCAGGCGCTCAGCAGGCCCTGCGACCGGCCCCCCTGCAGGTGACGAGCCTGAGCCCAAAGAGGCTAACGACCCTCACGGTCGTGAGCGGCAGAGCCGGGGTCTCCGCCCTGCTCAGCACGTCCTCCGCCCCTGGCCTATCCTGCTGCCCAAGCCACACGGCCCAAGGCTTTGACGATGGCCCTCGGGACCTCCAGGCCACCCTCTGTGCCTCTCTCCAGTTCATCACGATGCCTGGACCGCCCGCCTGGTTCCCCACAGCCCGGATCCCTGCTGGAAGACCTTCCTCCGTGGGTTCAGGGGTGCAGGTAACCAGAGCCCCTCTAGTCCAGCCCGCCCAGGGCCGCGGTGGCCAACCCTGGATGCTGACAGCTTCCCCTGTCCCCCACTCTCACCTCCCGGTTGGGGTCGTGCGGATGGCAACCAGTCGGTGTGTCTCTCACGTCGATGTTTCTCTCTCTCCCTCCCTCCTGCTCTATCTGAAGATATATGCAAAAATGTCCTCAGGCGAGGATTAAAAATAATAATAATAAAAGGCCCTGGTCTCTGGGGTCGGTCACCCCAGGGTGGCCCATCTGGATGAAAGCAGAAGACGAGGCCTCTTGTGCCCTCCCAGGGGACGATGTCAGTGGTCACACGCACCTCATTCCTGGGCTTAGAGTGTGGGGGAAAGCCACAGAGGAGAAGGGGGAAGAAACCGGAACCAGGGAAGTCCGGGGCTGTTTGCTCTTTCCCTGGTGGGGCAACACGGGCAGTGGCTGACCTCCTGGACGCCGGCCTAGTGGCCGGGACCACGCGTGTTCTGAGGGATCTGTCCCTTACTCCCCAGCCCGAGCCGGCAGCCCAGCTGCCCTTCCTCTCTCAGCCACCAGGGGTCACAACAGCTGCGTCAGTCCCGCTAAGGCTCACACGGGGACCCCAGAGCGTCAAGCCGTCTTCAGAAAGGATTTTTGCTTTCAGTGGTACATTTAATAATTATATTTCCTTAAAATCTTACATTATGTTTTACACGTAGGAAAAGTAACACACACACACACGGGAGAACAGTAGTAAGAGATACACCCATAAGCAAGTAACTTAAGAACCAGAACTTGAGGACTCCTGCTCGTACTTCCCTTTCCTCCATCCTGTCCCCCGCTCCACCCCCGGGGCAAACGTATCCTGAACGCGCACATTTTCCATCATTCCCTTGCCCCTCTGCAAAGTTTGACATTAAGAAACCACATTCCATACACGTCACCATTTGAACCTAATTCAATAGCTTTTAATACATTCACAAAATCATACAAGCACCGTCATCAATTTCAGAATATTTCCATGGCCCCCCAAAGAAGCCCTGTACCCATCATCAGTCACTCCCCCCTCCCCATGTCCCCAGCCCCCGGCAACCAGGCATCCACTCTCTCTGCGGATTTGCCTATTCTGGGATTTAATTTTTAAAAAATCGTAAATATGTGTCTTTTCACTTCTGATTTCTTTCCCTCAGCATAATGTTTCCAAGGATCTTCCAGGTTGCAGCACATGTCAGTACTTCCTTCCTTTTTATGGCTCAGTAAGTTCCCACTGCATGAATATCCGTCCTGCTCTTGCTAACAATACATCTAAATAAGATATTTGGTGGCACTTTTTGAGCTTTGTATCATGGTTATGTGTGTTTTTTCCAGTCTTCTGTGACTGGCTCTTTTTGTTCAAATTACTTTTCTAAGATTCACCCATATTATTCCCTGTAGGCAGAGTCCATTCCTTTTCAGTGCTAATATTCCGCGATGCCGGTAAATGATCTTTTCCTGTCTGAGAACACCTTTCCCCACTCAATTCTGCGCTCTTATAAACAATGACATTTTGAACATTTCTGTGCATGTTGCCAGGGAACACATGTACGAGTTCAAAGACACTGGTTTTCAAATCTTTTGATCACCACTTTCATGAGTAATGCTTTTGACATTGGAGCCCAGTAAAAATATATATTCATCAACACCAGAAATATCACAAAATAATACTTAACCTTAAAAATGAATGATACCCTCTGATACTTTCTATTCTACCTTTTTAGTTTAAATGGCTAGGCCCACTAACAGGTGACCCTCAGCAGTTTGAAAAAGCATGTTCTAGAGATAGGCCTAGGCATGAAGTCGTTGGGTAGCACACTATGCAAATTGTCAACTTTGCAACACAATTTCAAATTGTTTTGCTAAGTAATCATCTCCATTTTTACACCCTACCAGAAGCATGTGACTGTTCTTATTCATCTACATACTGATCAATACTTGATATTGTCAGACTGCTTCATTTCTGCCCATCCAGAGGTGTGAAATATGGTATTGACCTTATTTTGGTCACGGGGTTGGGCTTCTTCTGATTGTTCTCCATCCTGTTTCTTCCTCAGTGAGGTCTTTCGTGCCTTCTGTTTTCAAATGGGATGGCATAGTCTTCATTTCTTATTTTGAGTACTAAACTGTTGTCACTAAGTATCACAACTATCTCATCCCAACTAGTGGTTTGTCATTTATTAAATAACTTTTTCTTTATTGATTTTAGAAAGAGAGGAAGGGAGAGGGAGAGATAGAAACATCGATGAGAGAGAACATCGATTGGCTGCCTCCTGCACGCCCCCCCACTGGGGATCAGGCCCACAACCTGGGCATGTGCCCTAAGGGGGAATCGAACCAGTGACCTCTTGGTGCAGGGTCAACGCTCAACCACTGAGCCACCAGAGCTGGGCTTGTCTTCTCACTTTTAAAAATAGTCTTTCAATGAACAGAATTTCCTAATTCTAACGTTATTCCATGCAAAGATTTTTGTTCTTGTTTAAGATATCCTTTGTCACCCTGAATCAGAAATAGTAAAGCCTTGTCTATTGCATCTAACTCTTTCTTCCACCCAGAACAGGTGTCCGTGAGGTGTCAGGTGGGGACCTAACTGTTTTCCGTACCGACAGCCAGTTGTCTCAGCACCATCTGTGGGCCCCCCCATGCTCGCAGTGCACAATGCACTGAGCCGTGTATCTAGTTCCCACTTAGCTGTGGGTTTCGGGGCTTCTCTTTGGATCTACTGGCCGGTCTGCCTGGACCTGCATCAAACCCCCGTCTCAGCTCCTACGGCTCTGCAGGGATCGTCCCACGTGGTAGAGATGCTTCCCTCTCCTCTCCCTCCTCCCCCTCCAGGATGTCCGCACGATTCCTGGCCTGTTTGCGCTCTCTATATCATTTTAGAATCAGCATGTGAAATTCAAGTAAAACTGTGGGGATTTTCACTGGAACTGCAATAGATCTATCTATAGAACTTGGGAAAACTGACATTTTACTGACCTTGAGTCTCCTCTCTATAAATAAATGTATTCACTTGGTGGGGTCCTTTTTGATGTCTTTTAATAAAGTTTTATAAATGCTTTCACAGAGTCCCATACATCTACTACTTATTCCTAGGTCCTTATAATTTTTATTCCTGTTTTAAATGCTATGCCTTCTGTATGTTTTCTAACTTTTGCTGGTACAGAGAGAAGCAATATATTTGCATTTAATGATCTTAATCACCCTGTTAAACTTTAGTATTATTTCTAATAACTGACCTTTAGATTCCTTTGGCTATTCTGCACAGACATGATGCAGTACTGTTTCTTCTTTTCCAGTTCTTTTAGTTGTTTGTTTCTATTTCTTATCTTTTTCGTAGTCACTGCTAGGAATTCCAGTGAAATGGAGGACGCACCGCTAATGTAGGACACACACACTCACACGTGTGATTTTTTTTTTTTTTTTTTTATCCTCACCCGAGGATATTTTTCCATTTTTTGCACAGATAGAGTGGGAGGGAGAGAGAGGAAGGGAGAGAGAGACAGAAACATCGATGTGAAAGGAACACATCGAGTGGCTGCCACCCGCACGACCAACCAGGGCCGGGGACAAACTGCAACCGAGGTACATGCCCTTAGCGGGAACCGAACTCGGGTCTCTCAGGACCGCAGGCCGACGCTCTAACCGCTGAGCCAAACCGGCCAGGGCGCTAATGTAGGACACACACACTCACACGTGTGATCTTATTACTGACTTTTCCTCTGGGGGCTTATTTTTCCCAGCTTCACTGACATGGCAGCATACACCACTGCGTACAGCTTTTGACATAACTTCTACTGTACAGTGACTGCACAGTAAGGCTCACTAGCCTCACCACCTCACAGATTACCTTGTGTGTGGTG